GGGACGCCGACCCTGCCGCTGCGGAACTGCACCTGGGGGGCGGAGCAACGATGAACAGTCGCCTGAAAGGCGGCGGGCGCGCAAACTGCGACCCCAGCGGGGCTGCTGGTAATCGCCGCGCGCGCCCGACGCCTCATCGGTGGGAGGTTCAACCCCGCTCGCCAAGTTGCGTGTGGTCTGCATCTCCCACCTCGGCTTCGCCCACTTGCGCTGCTTGTCCTTCCCAGCCGCGCCGTCCGTCTTCTTGCCCGTGGGGGGCGGCGTCTTCTTAGCCACGTTGCCCGTGGCAGGCGGCGTCGTCTTCTTTGCCGCGTTGTCATTGCCAGGCGGCGTCGTCTTCTTAGCAGCATTGCCCGTGGCAAGCGTGGGGGCCTTCACCGCCTCGGCGTTCTTTTTCGTCTTGACCGCCTTCGTCCTCTTATCCATGGTCGCGACCATGGCCAGAGCCGCCTCCGTCGGGGTCTTCTTCAGAGAGCCTGCGGCGATGCCGACCATCTCAGCCTTGGGCGGCGGCGTCACGGCGACGATGCCGAAGTCGGAGTCGGAGTCGAGCTCGATCGGCAGCTCATGCTTCTTCTGCTTCTTCGCCGCGCGGCTCTTGCTGATCGAGGCCGTTTGGGCGGCGGCGGTGCTCGATAACGGCTGACAGTCGGCGGGTTTGCCGCCATCGTGTGCCGCCAGTTGCTGCGTCGACGGCGCATCCGAACTCCCCGCCGCCATCGAAAGCTGGTGGTTCGAACCGGCTCGTTCTTGCAACGGCTCCTGCGGCTGCTGCGTCTGCGAGCGGTCGATCAGCTGGATGGCTGGGTTGGGCCAGCGGCCGCCGCTGCGCGAAAGCCCCACCTGAAATCAGGCGGATCACCGCCGAACGAAAATATTCCCCCCCCCCCCCATCCCCCTAGGGGGATGGGGGGGGGGGAATATTTCACAACACGCCCTCCATCCAGGCATCCAGAAACGTACCCCGCGCCGATCCAGGAACCCACCCCACGACCCAATACCAGGTGTCCCGCGGGGGAATGCGTTCTGTTATTCCCCGTGGAGCCGTCGGCCAGCGCCCAGAGAACGAATCGGCCGCCGCGATGGGGAGGTGCTGATGAGGAGAGCCGCCGCCTGGGCCGTGGGATGGCTGCAGCCCGCCGCGGGCGGGCGCAGGCGCGGGCAGCGCGAGGTGGCCGCTCTTCTTCCCTGCACGGAGATTAATCAGCTTCGCTATCGTCACCATCTCGACGGGATTTATCTGCGGCGCCGTCGCTCCAACACCTGGCGGGAAGGCGTCGACGTACGTGATGGGGTACTGAGACTGGAGCCTCCCAGGCGTGATGGGGAGAGCCTGGATGCCATCCCTGGGCGGCGGCGTCGTCGCCGCGAGATTCTTGAACGAGGATTTCACTGTGGCCAGATATGACTGCAACAGCTCCCTCGTGATCTCGCCCGTCTCCACGCCTGTCTGCTTGCACACCAGCAACAAGAATGCTGCCATATTGGCGGCCGTCGGGCAGCTCGGATGCCTCAGGCCAAGCGCCCCGAGGTGCTCTGAGAACGCCGCCATCTTGGCAGTGAAGCCCGAATGCGGCGAGAGCACGAACTCCCACAACTGAGGCGTCAGAATTTCAATGAACCCCTCGTAGTTCTGGAGCTTCCTCCCCTGCAGGCTGCCCGACGACAGAGCCTGCAAGAAGTCTCCCAGCTCGGACTGCGCCCACCCCACGCCGCCGCCCAAAGCAGCAAACTGCGCACTCTGGAGCTGCGACCAGCGCTGGGACGTCGCCGCCTGGATGCAGGCAGGAAGGTGCTCCGTCGCACTGCCGCGCGCTACGAACACCGCCCGCGCCTCCTCCAGGCGGCCTCGAAGGATGCCCTCCATGGCAGCGATGCGGCGCGACCGCGCGCCGAGCGGAGTGCGCGACTCCCCGCGCGCGCACGCCGCCCGAAGCCCTCGGAGGAGGGCTCGCCAAAAACGGATCGAGCCCACGCGCGTGCGACGGACATATCCTACTCCTGCTCTTCCTGCTCCTCCTCCTCCTCCCCCTCCTCCTCCTCCTCCTCCTCCTCCCCCTCCTCCCCCTCCTCCCCCTCCTCCTCTTCCTCCTCCTTCTCCTCTTCCTCCTCTCCCTCCTCCTCCTCCTCCTCCTGGGTGAGGGGGGGCGCAGGGGGGAGAGGGTGTCGAAGGGGGGGCGGGGGAGGGGGTGCCGAAGGGTGCGCGGGGGGGAAGAAGAGAGCTATGGGGGAGGGTGGGTCAAGGAGAGGCCAGGGAGGGGGGGGGGGAAAGGGGTGGGCGGCTTGCCGCCGAGGGGGTGGAAGGAGGCGGCAAAGCAAGCCGCCGATCGGGCGGTTGGGAAGAAGCGGTTTCCCGCCACGAGGAGGAGAAGGCGGTTTGCCGCCAGAGGAGGAGTAGGCGGCTTGCCCCCAGAAGGGGTAGGCGGTTTGCCGCCAGAGGAGGAGAAGGCGGTTTGCCGCCAGAAGGGGTAGGCGGTTTGCCGCCAAAGGAGGAGAAAGCGTTTTGCCGCCAGAAGGGCGGTTTGCCGCCACGGAGGGGGAGAAGGCGGATTGCCGCCATGGGGGGGGGAGAAGGCGGATTACCGCCGACGGAGGACGAGGCGACGGAGGAGAAGGCGGTGCGCCGCCTAAGGAAAGGGGGGATAAGGGAGGGCCGAAGACACATGGATAAACATTTTCCTCCTTCCCTCCCCCCTCCCCGCGGGCATGCGCGCAACCCGCAGCGCCGCGGCCGCGAGGTACAGCAAGTACCTGCGGCGCCTCGGTCCTGAACAACTAACAACAACAACAACGGAAATTCAATGGATTTCAAAAAAGTTAAGAATAAAAAATACGCAAATGATTAGCAAAAACACGAATATGTTCAGCCCCATCGACTTATCAGAGATATCTAACTTAGTATATTACTTACATCTACACTTACAAACACCATAAGTATTGCATATGCACACATGAGATGCGCGATCAACAAGTGTACGTTCTATGGCTTAACTAAGATTATGTAAGATGAACGCTCTTACCGCACTTACAGCCACCCGACGATCAAAGTGGCGCGCGCGGCGGCTGCCGCGGCCGCCGTTGGCGCTGCCGGCCGGCGCCGCCTGCAGTGCCTCCTGCGCTGGGGCTGCTGCGGCCCCCGGCCGCCGCCGCCGCCGGCCTGCTGGCCGGCGCCGCCGCCGCTGGCGCCGCTGGCGCC